AGTGCGCATGGACGGTCTAGATCTCACTCGTGCGGACGGCCCAGATTGAATCACGCACGGATGACCCAGATCGTATCGCGATGGACGGTCCAGATCATTTCAATTTAATCGCGATCGGACGACCCAGATTAAATCATGATGGACAGCTCAGATTAAAAGGAGAATGTTATAAATAACCTCATTGACACCCAACCCCAAACCCCTAGCCGCCAGAGCCCTTGCCAGAGAAGACAACCCAGCCATCGGAGGAACCCACCGTCGCCGCACTGGGGCACTTTCCGGCCACCAGACGAGGTAAAATTTCTTCTCTTGGCTTGGATTTCGATGTTGAACCCCTCTGTGGCCAAATCAGAGCCAAACTACCGGCCAATTAGCCGAAAAATATCGTCGAAGCCCAGCAGCGCCGCTGTGGGTTTTCTCGATTTTTGCCTCTGATAGGGCCCTTCCCGATTCCCGTTCGATGTAATTTTTATACCACTATGACCACCGTCCTTTCCTTTACAGGTTGACCGGAGCAAAAATACCAAATCGCGACTCGCGCCGAAGGAACCGCTGCACCCGAGAGCTCCGCCGCTGGTAAGTCTCAGTTTTCTGGATTCTTTTGGCCCTCCGATGGCCCTAGGGGTGTTTTATCATAGGAACCAATGCAAGTTTGGCCAAATTCGACCAAAAATAGCCAACCTGAGGCAGATCGCCACCGTGCACGACGGCGCAGTTGCCGGAGCACGGTGGAGCCGCCGTGCCAGAATTCTGAAATTGGTCGAAAAGGCCTTGGGTCTGATTTGGGGGTTTTTGGAGACATGTGCAGGTACCGGAAGTGTATTTCAGTTTTCAACAAAAAAAATTCAGGGAATCTAGAGACTGCCCGTAGGCGCAGTGAGAACCTGATTTCAGACTCCGAAACAAGTAAGGATCCTTCACCCTATTTTCTATCACGGCATTAAAGCTTAATAAATGATAAAATAGTATTTTATGAATTAATGGATATGTATAATTAATTAAGATTGCTAATGGAGCCCGAATCTGATGTATTTTTCGGTCAGGTGTTGTTTAATTTATTTTACAGTTTTGAATGTAGTATGGTGCCTGATGTGTTTATTCTATGGTTTCGTACGCATGAATCACGATTCATTTATTATGGTTTGAATTATTGTGAACCTGATGTGTTGCCTTGTTTGGTGTCCATTACTGATTTACGTGTTTATGTTTGATTGGATAATTGAGATTAAGAAAAATGGAAAAAAGTATGTGAATTGATAAATGGATAATGTCGATAGCCTAACTAGATATCCTATGAGATGGTGGATGGACCAGGTCCATAGGGAA